TCTTCCTCCGACGGCATCTAGCTAACGATCGTGAGACTCGGTGCAACTTGTTATCGTTGCAATGAGATTAAAAATTCTACGTGGAATAAAACAGCAACACACTTTAGTTTGCGAACCCTTATTCATGCACCCTGAAAAATATTACTTTTTCAACCGACCAAACAAGTCTTTCACTGTAGCGAGCTTGGAACGCACTTTGCTAGGGTGTGACATTTTTTTTTTTCGAGTCGTGGGCGTGTAGATTTATTTTTCATACAGAGGGTGATGTCAGGGCAAACACGCTGCGCTCTTATGTCACTGGCGGGGCCCTCGGGGCGAAGCGCGCCAAGCGAGCGCGGCGTCCGGTCACGGCCCCGTGGGCCCCGCTGTGTGGCCTCAGCCTGCCTGGCCTCAGCCTGCCTGGCCTCCGCGCCGCCTTGACGGCCACAACAACAGGAGTCCGCCCGTCTCTCGGGCAGGTGGTTCGGCTAACCAGGCGGGGCAGGCCTGGATCAAACATGAAAGGGTATACAGGGAAAATGTTTTGGCGATGAACAAACTGCGCTTTTTTCTGGACTATGTCTAACGCAGACATGAGCAACAGTTTTCAGGCACCCAAGGCATTGTCAGCCCTGAGACTATGCCAAGTCTGAAATTGAAGTGTGCATGGTTTATCAGTGGGAGTGGGTGGTAAAGGTTTGGAGTTTGGACAACGGGCTGGTGAGGTTAGGGTAGCCCGTTGGTTGGGCTGCGCACAGGGCGCAGCGATGACGGAACGAGCCGTGCGTGCCTAAGCAGGTTATGGCCGTCTGGTCACCCGCTCGCCGGGCCCGCCACGCCCCGCCACTGCCTCTAATGGCTTTATATTAGCCTATCGCGGCCTCCGGATCGGTCCAGTTCCGGGGGAAGTGTTTAAGCGCAGCTTTGGGCCTCGACAAAGCCATTTGGGAAGTGTTTATAGAAAGCGATGACTCGGCCGGCTATCTCGAATCGGGGTGTGCCTGGTGTGCTTATTGGTACTCGTTAGCGTGCACTTTTTACCCGGAAATTACGATTAAGCCGATAGCGTTGCACTGTGTTGCAGTGCGCATGCGCTGCGATTACGACATGCTAGAAATTAATGCCGCTGGTCTGTGCGCGGATCGGCAAGGCAGCCTCCAAATTAGAATGTTATTTACCCATGTTTGGTAACCCTGGTTTCCACAAACTGTCAGGACGACTCCGTTTGAACAGATTTCGCGATTACTTCGATGATCACAGGCACTCTTATGACCTTTGTTCCTATGACTGTGTCTACCTCGCCGACTTGGGCCGCACGCCGCGCGTCTTCAAACTGATCGCGGGTCGCCGATTAGGAAAGAGCGGCGATTGGTGCTCGCGGTGCGCACCGCCACGGAATGGCACTTTGGCACTTTCTCTGCGATGCCGTGGGACTTGGGATGCAGCCGGGCCCGGCCGGGCCCACAATGCACCGGGGTGTCGGCCAGGGCGCCCGCCTGGGCCTGCGCCAGGGCGGCTTGCCGGCGAAGCCTAAAACTTTCTTCCCTTATTACGACTTCGGAAAGGGCGGTCTCGCCTCGGTCGGGTCTGCCTCTGTGTGTGTGACTGAGTCGTACGTGTGTGTGCGTCACTAGGACGGGAAATACCGGCGTGGACAGCCTTGGACCGTGAGAAACTGTACCGGAATCAGCTCTTTGTGACTGACCAGTCAGGCAGTTCACACTGGCGCGCCACAGGATGTCTCTTCTTTCAGCTTTATTTTAATTTCTTGATAAGATTATCAAATGTAGCACAGTATGTTGAGTGTCCCGGTTTAATGAGGCCACGAACTGGCTGCAAAAATTAGCCAAGATGTCCATAAGCTCAATTTCAAGAGTGCATGTGCAGTGCCTTCCTCAAAGTTTTCTCCTTTCTCCTTTAAAAAAAAAACAACTTGCGTATTACTTATTAGCCGACTGTGTACCGCAAGGTGCTGACGCAACGTCCGGGAAGGACGCCGCCTGGTGGCCAGTCTTTGAACTTGTCTCCCAGACAAGGCCAGGCCCTGGCCAAGCCAGCGAAGCCCTGCCGGCACCGCGGCGGTAATAATTTTGCTGGCCGCGCTCCAGGTCGACGTGCGAGGACTTTCTTCGGCCGATACCGGTTCGTATGTCATCTCCGTGTCTGCTGCCCGTCCGCGCGGGAAACACGTGAAATTTGAATGTGGCTGTACCGCTCGCGGTTGAGTAATGCTCACGGAGTTTTCTGCCCGGAGCCGGTCCGCGCTGCCGTGTCACTTTTTTTTCCAGGTTATTTTTTTAACGTTGTTAGCGCGCGCTTTGTGTAATGAATCTGGTTGGCGCGTGAATTAGACGCCGCGTTCTCACGCCCCATCATGCGCGCGGTGCGTGCAGCGAGCGACGCACGGCTGAGGCGCGGGTTCAAAACCACCCGGGAGCTTTTTTGTCTCCTGTTTTTTTTTCTTTTGTGGTGGCGGCACCGCTCAAGGAGGGTCAAGTGTGGCGGCAGAGAGGCGCGCGTGGCCTCGGCCGCCAAGTCGGCAACGCTCAGCCCGCTCAGCTCATCTCGCTGGATTGCGGCGCCGCTCGTTCCAAAGCGAGAGTCGACTCCCACTCTTCGATATATCGATCGCGCCGGTACTTACTCGCCGGTCAACGTTCACTTTTATGCTTGCGAAAGTGTGCCTCGAATGCCATCTAGAGCAGGAACGCGTACACTTTGGCTGCCTCAGATTGCAAAAATTTGCTAAAATTCTATTTCTACAGCAAATCTAATTGACATTGTTTTTCATGTCTCTTCTAACGATTGTGGCGTTGAAAAGTGGACCCAACTAATCTCTTTTCTACTCGACAGTTGTCACTAGTCCATACCCACCGCACGCCTACTTTCCAAGACATGGCAGGCACCCGCAGCGAAGCACTTGTCTCTCAAGTAGTTTTGAGTTTTCTGTCATGCGGTTGGGCGTTGGGTCCCGCCGTGGGCCCACACAATCCCCTTACGCAAGCCCCTGCGGACCACAAGGGACCCCTAGGGACCCGATGATGCGGGCAGGACGTCGTGGAGGATTTGGTTCCGGCCATTTGGCCCTGCCTGCACCACACTCGCCGACCGCGTCGTTTCTTCTTTTTTGACTAGCATGGATGCAGTTTTCACTTCCACTATGCAAATGCGGCCCGCCTGGTCCGCCCCCCACGGCGGCCGCTCCGTTGTTGTCGCACGCCACTGTTACTGCTCGCTCGTCTTTGGCGTTGCGTCAATAATTGTCCCTGCGGTGTGCACGCGCCTTGAGGCCTGCGCGCTCGCGCCTCGAACCCAGGATATCGCTCCGCTCCGCCTCATCAACGTCATGTTGCTGCACGGCGTGCCACTCGCAGTGGGGCGGCCCCGCGGAGCAGGAGATTGCCTCGGGTTTCCGGATCCGCAGCCGGGATTTGACGAACGGGATCGGTGCTGCCCCGCGGAGCCCCGCGCAGCACACTGCCCTTGTTTGCCTTGGCGACGCGCCTCGCAGTCATGGCGTGTGCCAGCGGCAGGCAAGGTGGCGTGACACTCGGCCAAAAAAATGCAATTGTGTCATTTTTTATTTTTATGTTTACGAACAAGTTCGCTAGTCCTGGCAATCCCTGCCGATCATCAACCCGTGCGTCTCGCTCGAGATTTCTGAAACCGCATTCCCGGCCCGAAGCCGAAGCGCAACACATGTCGTTGCCGCCGGTCCACTGTGAGTCCATCTTGACGGAAGCGTGTGCATGCCGATGGGGCCACGCCGGCCGCGCCGGCCACCGGGACGTGCTCGCGTGTCGACACCGCGCCGTGACGCGCCGTGACGCCAGGCAGCGGCCCGTGACGCGCAGCGCGCAGCCGCGCAGCTGCAGATGGCACGGCACCTGCCCGCCCTGCAGAGTCCTCCTCGCCACTCTGCCTGGTGCGAGGGAGACGGAGCGACGCCAACGAGTCTCAGATTCACTGGTCCACGGGCCGCAGTGTCGCCAAGGGGCTCGCCAAGAGGCTATGCTGCCGCTGGCGCTCCAAAACCGACGCGGTCCTTTTGCCACCCGCTGCTCCTCGATTCATCACCGTCATGTTTTTAACTGGAATGTCGCTGTCGTCGTGTCTGAGGATGGGTCGGGCGGGCGTTTCGAAATTCGGCCGACGCATTGCCGAAACAGCCAGCGCCTCTCTGCTCCCTTTGGACGGCCCGTTCGAGGGGCAGGCCGCGGAGGTGCAGCCCAGCAGGCGCCGGAGACCCAGAGCACCTAGAGGTACTCGCGGCCCTGCATCCCGCCGCCTTCCGGTCTGATGCCCGGGGCCCACCGTTACTCCCAGGGCGTTGCGCCTCCCACCTTCACGGGGCCTTACACTCCCCCCCCCCCACAACACATGCACACAGCGACACACAAAAAGGAACTAAGTCTCCGGGCGGCTTCTGAATAGAGCGCGCCCCTATTTCCCTACGCGCCTCCGGCAATGGATATCCGCACGTCTCATTACTCGCAGCTCGCACGTGTGGTGCGCGCACGTTATTGGCAGTCACCTCTTACTGTGTGTCTGTGTGCGCGCACTTGTATTTATATATGGGTAAAGGCGGGAGAAAGTGGTACGACTGGAAGGACGGGCTGCCAATAAGGCGCCGATTTGCAGCAATGTGTTGCATCTGATTGGCCATCGCCCGGCGTGTCCCATAATCCTGTGCAGCCAAGTGATGTCACCGCCGCCGCCGGTGTTACGCCCCGGCCGTGGCGCGGCGTGGCGCGGCGTGGCACACTTCTGGCGCCGGGGGCTCCCTTGGCGCCCTGCCCGCGCGGCGCCGCCTTTTGCCAGCGAGCGTGATGCGCGAATTGCAATCATATTTCGCGGTCTGTGTGCTCAACAGGGGCCGCCGCTGAGCCGCCTCGCCTCTTGGCGGCCCTCAAGTGCACTCATGTGCTCATCTGACCGCGGCTCAGCCACTGCCAAAAGATCGATTCTCGAACCGAAATAACTTGCATGAGGTGAAGCTAAGCGAGGACTTTTGTTTGCAGAAGGAGGCCGGCTCCAAGGGCGAGGACGAGTTCCCCTGGGACGACGTGCTGGAGGGGCTCACGGAGGCACCGACCGCCGTCACCGACTTCAGCTGGGACTTCACGCGCGCCGACCCCGACCTGGGCGTCGACCTGGGCGTCGACCTCACCCACTGCAGTGGCTCCAGCGCCGCCAACTCCAACTCCAGCCACGAGGACGACTCGGACGACGCCGCGTCGGTGGGTACACTGCAAGTTCCTCCGGACCGGCAGGTGGCGCGTCGGGAGGATCTTATTAAACGCATTCGCCATTCGCCTTCACTTTCATGCGTTACGGCCCGCGGGGCGTGCGTGCCTGCGTGTGCGGGCTGCGCGGCCCGGCCGATCCGAGCTGGTTTTGCTCCAAAATGGAGAGTTCCCGACACGAGCGACGTCACGTGGCCGATGGCGGCCTGCAGACGGGCTCGTTGCTCTGTCTCTCTCGCACCCATTCAGGACGCCCAGCGCGTGCGAGAGAGACAGAGCGTGCCGGCCGATTACGGCGGCCCGACCGGTTGCTGGGTGGCCCACATGGTCATCGCTTGCCGAGAATTCGCGCGAAATGCGGCCTCTAGGCCGGGCCGTGGCGAACCGGAGCGCGCGTTCAAATTTGCCGGCGTGTTGGCACGCGCTATGAGGAAGCCACCGTGAGACGCGAGGCGACGCGAGGCGACGCCAGTTGGCATTGCTTGCCGGCGCCCCCGCCCGGACTCCCGTGTGACCCGAGTGTGTGGCGCGACGCCGCGACGGGGGGCCAATAAAAAGAGGAGGAGCCTGGAAGGCCGCCCGTGTTTGCCTTGCCGACTGTGACTCACCCGTCTCCCGCGAAGCGAGCGAGCCACGGTGACAACACTAGGGTACACTAGAAAAAAAATGAGGGAAACGAAATTTTCTGCTAAAAGAACAAGACCGTTAGCGTTGTGGAATTGTTCTTGAAAGTTTGCGTCCGTTTCAGCTCAAGGCAGCGGCCGGCGCCAACCCCCACCCTGCCCTCCGGCCCGACGCCAAGGTCCTAGAGGACGTCGACTGGGACCAGGACGACGAGGACGCCGCCTACAGCTCCGTCATCCGAAGGGGCTCGCCGACGGCAACCTCAGGTCGCTCGCCGCAGACGCTGCCGACGACACTCTGTACAGGGTGAGCATGGCGAAGGAGGCCAACACTTTTAGTCTTAGTTCCACACTGCCTTATGGTAGGTTAATAAAAACAGCTCTTCAACGGCAATTTTCTTGATTTTTCCTCCAGATTCGAGGATGCCGACGACGGTCTCGGTGACGAGGACCCCGTGTACGCCAACTGCATCCTGGAGGACGAGCCCCTGTACGAGAACTACTCGCACTCGCTGAGCGGGCTGGCGCGCGGCCTCGGCCACTACTCCAACTTCCTGGACGTGGAGGACCACGACTACTCGGACGACGAGGAGCACATCTACGAGCACGTCCACCACGCGCACCACCACCCCGTCAACGTGTTCCTGGCGCTGCTGCAGGGCTCGGCGCCCATCAGCCCCGACCCCAACATCTACGAGGTGCCGCCCGGCGCCATCCGGCCCGTGGCCATCGACGGCTTCGGCTTCGACACGGTGAGGAGCAGCGGCAGGAACATCACGCCGCCCAGTGGCTTCCAGGACTACGAGAAGCTGTCGTGGGTCCAGGGCAGCATCCGCAGCGCGGCGGGCTTCGACGTCAACAACAACTACCTGCGCGTGGACACGCTGCGCGACACGGTGGTGTCGGCGGCCGCGCAGGACGAGGACGACCGCCACAAGCTCCCCGTCGAGGTCATCTACTCCACCATCGTCAAGCCGCGCCGCAAGAAGAAGCAGCGGCCCGCCATCTCCGACATGCTGCAGCTCGCCGCCACCATGCAGAGCGTCACCGACGTCGCCGACGCCGTGGTGCTGGTCGGCGGCCCGGGCGAGACGGCCGACGCCGTCCCCGCGCAGGACGTCAACCACAACATCATTGAGGTCACCGGCACCGAGGTGGTGCCGAAGGACGTCGTGGTGGTGACCGTCCTACCCGAGGACGGCTCGCGCCAGGTCACCGTCAACCAGGACGACGTGATGGAGCTGGTCATAGTGACGCCGCCCACGCCGCCCGCCGTGTCCGACGACGAGGACGCCGAGGTCACCGTCGAGGCCCCGCAGTCCGAGGCGGAGATGGAGCAGGTGATTGAAATCGGGTCGGACGGCCGCTGGGACACGAAGGAGGTCCCCAGCGAGGAGGCGGTGCAGCAGAAGGAGAGCGAGGACGCCGAGGCCGCGGACGGCGGCTTCCTCGCCAGCGTGCAGGAGTGCCCCAGCGAGGTGGCCAAGATCAAGCACGCCGCCATGGCCTACGGCTCGCAGTACTACGTGAACGCCGCTCCGAAGCAGCAGCCTCCGCAGTGCACGCTGGTGGTGGTCAACGGGGACGCCAAGGACGAGGACGACACGGGCGCGGCCGCCAACGCCAACATCGGCTCGCAGATCATGAAGATGTACGAGGACGACCGGCAGAAGGTGCGCGACAGCCTGAACCTGCCCGACGTCAGCCTGCTGGACATGGACGAGTCCATGGAGGACATCGAGCGCGAGCGGCGACGCGTCATCGTCAACCAGGCCGTCCGCGCCAAGAGGATCAGCTCCTGGATCAAGAGCAACGGCCAGGACGGGCAGCAGCACGCCGCGCTCGCCGCGCACCGGGCCGCCCTGGAGGACGGCATCGCGCACCTCAACGAGGACGGTGAGTGCGGTGGAGTCTGGCGGAGTCCAATGTCTCGTTTTGCAGTGCAGGCGGGCATGAGTCGGGCCCGAAATGGCATACGATCACTTGTGGTCCAGCCCGCAATGGTAATGGTAAAGGAGCGCCTGCTGCGTGGGCAGAGCCGCCGCGCCTGCCAGCACGATGGGTTGCCTATCCCGTGGAACACAGGCGCCTGCCGGAAACTCACGCGGTTGCACGAAGCCTTGCCCTGCACCGGCGTCTGGCAGTCAAGGCGGCTCGGGGCTGTCTTACTCCTTTCGCCTGCCTTCAGGCGCAGCATCAAGAGTGTTGCCTACCTCCGAGGCGCTCGCCCGATCCACCGGCCCCCCTCCCTGGAGCCGCCACTGCGGCCGTGCTGCGCCGTGGAGGCAGAGCGCCACCTGCGCGAGGGCGCCTGGCTGCCCGATGGGCTGCCTACCCCGCGGGGGCAGGAGTCCTCCCCGCCGAGTGGGGGGCGCAGGGCGCCGTGGTGGGGGGCGCGACGCGCAGCCCCGCAGGTAGCAGGTGCAGCGCGTTAGTTCTCACCGCCCCGGCGCCGCGGGGAAGGGGGGGGGCGTGGGTGGATGTGGCGTACGCAGTGTGGGAACCGGCCGACCGCGGCGCGGCGCTGGCTGGCATTTTCAGCGCAGCGCGGGGCTCGGCGGAGCGGCGGCGCGCAGGACAGGTGCCTGGCAGCCCGCCGCTCCGAGCCTCCTCACCGACCCGCGGAACGGCCGGCGCGTTGCCCTTTGACGCAGGGTGCAGGGCGCCACCCGCCCGCTTCGGCTCGCGAGAATTAAGGGCGGATCCGGGGAGGGGTTCAATGGAGACGGTGTAGCGAACGTCGCCTACTTTCAGGGGCAAAGCGAGACTTCTGCCTACCTATCAGGGCTTCGGCTCTAGCCGCGAGAGCTCTGTTTCGACTCGCCTCTCCTCCATCAGGATCGCATTCATCGGCGCGCGCGTAATGATGCGCTGCAAGCACGATCCCCTAAAAGATCAATCACTTCATCACGCCCAGAGGGCGGCGGCCCTGGAGCGGAGCGCGCCAGGACCGCGCTTACGTAATGTTTGGATGGCAGGTTGTGAATGGACTCCAAGCGTCGCTCCGGGATCAAACCCTCGCTTGCCACGGGATCACGCGTCTCGGTCCGATCGTGCACCCTTCGCGTGTGTGTGATTATGTCTGTGTGTGTGTGTGATTCACATCACCGTGCTCCGTGACGGACTGAAACGAGACCAAACACTTTTCCCCGGGACACCGACCTTTTGAGCCCCGACCTGCCCCGCCGCTGCTTTGAGCCGCTTGTAGCTCTCGCTGTTGGAGCCGAGCCCCGCCGGGGGGCTGCGCCAGGTCTGCGCCAGGGCTGCGCGCATCTGCCTGGGCGAGGTTAACTAGAGGCAGCGCGCCGCGAGGGGGGAGGGGGGGGCTGCTTGACGTGGGCAGAGCGGAGAGAATGTCCGTGGCGCGCGCTCCGCGGGGCTCGGCGGGGCAGACCTGCTCTTTCATTTGGGTCTACTGTCTGCTGATGAACTTCCGCGCACGGGGCCAGAGGCAGCCAGAGGCCGGACCGGGGTGGGGGGCAGTCGGGTGAAAGGAGGCGCGGTGGACACTGACTGATGGTCGACCAAAATGGCGTAATGCGAGCTCGCCGTCAGCATGCGCTCACGCATCGCACGCGACCCATCACGATCTCGCCCTCCACGCGGCCGCTGGTGACGCATCCTCTTTTATTTTCGGATTTCTTTCTCTCCTCAGTAATTTTTAGAATCTGGACTTTTCGGAATAAAATTTCGGTGACCTTAGATTTGAGGTACAGGCAGTGACTTGGTCCGGGGGTCAGTGACGCGGTCGGCGAGGCCCCTTTGAGGACGCGCTCGCCGCCCGCTCCGAGGTGTCGGTGCGCTGCGTACCCGTCCATACGTGTGATCGCCGCCGCCGAACAAAGACACTGTTTGTTGGAAAAGGAAAGTACTTTGTTGCACAATTCAATACAAACGGGCCATTGGACGAGGCGGCCGCGTGATGCGGGCTGGATGTTCCCAGCAGGAGTGGTTGACTTTTGCCGGCGTTCGCCCTCGCCTTGCAGTGCCTCGCAGTGCCTCGCCTTCCATCGTTTGGCGGAACAATGGTTGCGCCGCCGTTGCACCTCGAAGCGCGCCCCGCCGCCATGGGGGCCTCCGAGACGGGGGTCTTCGTGATGGGGGGCTTCAAGTTGGAGTCTTTTAGTGGGGGCCTCCAAGATGGGGTCTTTGTTGTGGGGGTCTCGAAGGTGGGGGGGGTCTCCCAGACGGAGGTCTTCAAAAACGACAAAAATACAGAATTTCTCTTTTCCCTCATTTTTCTCCGCCACCTGTAAAAGAAGGGCAGTGGTAGTGACGCGCGAAGCAAGGGCATCCACGTCGGCCAGGCACTACTTCCCGACGGACTTGTGGAGCTGCAGGGCTGCGGGGCGTCGGCAGCGCGTCGGGCAAGGCAGCGCCATCCATCGTCCGGCACTGCTTCAAGTGCACCGCCTCGCGGTGTGCTGCAAAACAACGCGCCGGAAAAAAAGTGGAAAAGAAGTGGAAAAATACAAGTTTAAAAAAGAAAGGAACACGAGTGAGGCAATCACTTTGTTATGACCACGTCGAGGGGCAAGAAATTAGAAAGACGGAAAAGGCGAGTGGAATGATGTCATTTCGGAATGCTGCCGACGAAGGTGGTTGTTTTCGACACTTTCGTTCGGTGTCGTCCCCCGCTCATTATGCCAAACTCATCAGTTCTGCGAGGCAGAAATTTCCGAAACGAAAATTCTGTATCGCACCGTGGTGGTTTTCACCTCCAGTTTCTCTGGCGAAAAAAAAGAAGAGGAGTGCCGACGCATTTATTGGGAGGCTGATGGCACGGCACGCCGGTGAGCTTAATGCTGGAGAAGCTGGAGAGGCTGGAGCCACGCCACTGGAGTGCGGCCAATCCACTCCAGTCTTTCACGCTGCGTTACTCCGGCGAGTCGTGCCGTACCCAAAAATAAATAAATGTCCGTATTTCTCTCTCTCTCTCTCTCTCTCTCTCTCTCTCTCTCTCTCTCTCTCTCTCTCTCTCTCTCTCTCGGACCCGATTTCACCCTCTCCTGCTTCCTCCTTCTTCTTGTTGTTTTTGTTTCTCTTTCTTCTCCTCGGCTGAGGGGTGGACGCGGGGAGACACGTGTGCTGACGCCGTATGTCGCTGCAATCAGGGGAAAAAACCGCGAGCGATGAAACGCCTGTTTTATGCATGGAGAAAGGCCGTCGGCCAGCCGATCTGGTTGGCGGCGTGCCGCTTGCTTCCCGCCGCGTAAGGCGACACCCCGCCATGGCGATTCAGTCTTTTCCTTCCGATAGGTTTTTACAGCAGCTTCCACATTCACGCCCCCCAGGTCCTATTTTCGTCTTTGTCTCTAAAAGCTCCGTTGTTGCAGGGTTGCTTTCTTAACGCGTCGGAGATACATGGCAACGTCTGAGCGTGTTCGCTTTTGGCCGGTCCCCTCCTATAGTCCTTACGATGTAAAAATTTATTCACTCACACATGCACACACCGACTTCGTGGGAAAAGGAGACAGCGCCCTGTTGCACAAACTTGTGTGTGTGTGTGTGTGTGTGTGTGTCGCCCAGCTTCTTCCGCGGTTTGCACACACACACAGTGGGAAAGACACGCACGTGGGTAGCGACCTTCCTGTCATTGTCGCCGCCTTCCCCGCTCGGCTGATTCCGAGAGCCGTCGCTCCGTCTCTCTCGCACCTCTACGGGACGCCCCGCGAGTGCGAGAGAGACAGAGCGAGTGCCCCGACGGCATGTCTGGAGACGACGGAACGGAACGTGTCGCCGCGGATAATGAAACGGAAGAGAGACCGGTTCTGCCCTTCCTTCTCTTACGCCCACCCCTTTGCTAATCGTAATTAAATTTCAGATTGTGACGTTCGGAGCAGCGGCAAGGGAAGTCAGGACGGTCCGCCACTCGTTTGGTCGTGTGTCAGCCAGCACCAGTGGCGCGGCCGGTCGGGCCCGAAAGGCAGGCCGTCGCCAGCCGTGCCAGGTAGACCCGCCCGTCGCGCCGCCGTGTGTTGCGGGGCGGCCTATGCGTCGCTTCGCGGGCGCTCGGACTGCTCCGCGCGGCGTGTGTGGCCCGGGCCATGCGTGTCCAGTCGCCTGCCTGTCTGTCTGCCTGTCTGTCTGCCTGTCATCCTGTCCGTCTGTCCGGCCGGAAGGCGCGCGCTGCGAGCCGTGATTACATCCCGCGTGATACGCACTGGTCCGGTCCACACAAAACACACACAGTGGCCCACACAAGGCCGGAACAAGGACGATGGGGGAGGGGGGGGGCTGGCTTGTGATTAGCATGGCGGCGGGGCATCCGTATTGCCGAGCTTTCACCTGACCTGCGGTGTGGCGGTGCATGGCGGCGCCGAACGGCACCTGTCGCGGCCGGCCGGCCAAACATGCGCATGCCGTGTCGTCTGCTGGACCGGCAGGCCGGAGAGAGAGAGGAGGGGGGGGGAGAGGTTCGGTGGGTACTCGGTACACATTCGAGTTTACAGTGCACATGCGAAAGGAATCTTTGAGCCTCATCCGGCCTGCGAACCTCTGTGGCGAATTCAAATGATTTGCCAGTGCACCCTCGCACCCGCAAGCGCCACGCCCCCGCGACCCCCACCGCCCCCGCCGCGTTGACCGCAGCGCTGGCGGCGTGGCGGCGCCTGCCGGGTGCACGGGGTGTTGACTCGCGCTGCAAATAGAGAGGTTTCACTGCCGTCCGATTCGCAGACACGTGTGGCTGGCGGCGTGGCGCTACGAGCGAGAGCGAGCTGCACTGGATGCGCCGCTGTGACTCTCGCCCGTCTCTCTCGCACTCGCGCGTCTGGCTAGAGAAGCGCGAGGGAGACGGAGCGACGGGCGTCTGCCCGGCCGGGCCTCAGCAGTGAAAATGACGGAGGCTGCGAACGGCGTCGTAAAGGCGTCGCTTCTCGCGAGCCTCTCGCGCC